GATCGTTTTTTCATCTTCAGCACAGGGAACAAGATGTGAAGTGCGCCACAAAGTGTGTTTTCTTTTTCTGCAGAAAAAAATAGATTCCCTCACACATTGTGCTCGTTGACAGAAATCACGGACAATTTGATCGTAGGCGTACATGTTTTTATTTGGTTCTTTTTAGATAATAAACAATGTTTTAAATATGATAATAATAAAGTACTATGAAGAAAAATAATAGATTACGACCTACGCTTCAATTGGCAGATGTTTTAGGCCTAGCCTAAGTACTACCTACTAGGCCTAGACCCCTAGTAGTAAGTATGGTTAGGCCCACCTGGCATAGGCCTAGCCTAGCACTGCAGCAGTTTGCCTACGGAACCACAATGCTAATTAAAATTAATATTGTACAAACAAATCTTTTATGTAAAATTTAGTGTCTGTTATAGCCTTTGTAATAAATCTGGCTTGGCACCAATGCAGTTTTTGAAATCTCTAGGCCTAAGAAGCCTACACATTAGGGCCTAGGCTAGGCCTAAGTCAGCAAAAAAAAAAAAAATAAAAAAAAAAAAATCCGCCCCCCGCCCCTGAAAATTTCAGAGGATGTGACGCTAAACAAGTAGGCCTATATATATATTTTTTTGGCCTAATGTTGAATATGACTATTTGAGTAGGCCTACATAGTATCCTAGATATGGCATGTCTTGTAGCAATTGTATAGTACTGATTCTGAAAGATATAAACGTTAGAAATGCTTATATTTATTTATTTATTTATATTTCAAAATATGAGAAAAAAATTCGCTGTCAATAAACAGTGAACGTATTTGCTGTATTCATTTACATGATTCATTGACTGGTAACATTAAGGATTGTTTTGTAGAATCGTCTGTATATTAGTGAAAGCTTTTTTACTTCCATCTGATTTTGATCGTTATTCATTTTTTTTTAAATGAGTAAACAGTCATTAATAAACAGTAGGTCCCTACGTCATAGGTGTATAGAATATCGTCGGATCTGGTAAAATTAATGTTTATAATATATCTGCTTGCTATATAACTCTATGCCTATTACTTTTATTCATATTGAATAAATAAAACGATGTTTGTGACAAATCAACATTAAACTTTCATACCTCCTTGATTAAAACAATACATAACCGGCTTAACACATGTTTCCGACCATTTCTAAACGTTTATATCCTTTCAGGATCAGTATTACTAGGCCCACTCGTAAGTAGGTATGTGCTATACTCTACACTACTCAAATAACCGACCAGATTCAAAGCTGCTTTTTATGCTTTCAAAAACCATTCTCATTCATAATGCATACCAGTCAAGAGTTCTAAAACCCTTCAACAGTCTTTATCATTTTATACTTTTTTATTCTAACTGATAGGTTGGTCTATAGGCCTAGACCTATTAAGTATAAGTCTTACAAGCACTTGTGTTGTTCTAAAAGCTTGCTCAACTCACGCGGTGAAATTTTCGATAGAATACAATTAGCATAAAATTCGCGCCACACCTTTGGGCTGATAAGATCAAGAGGAAACAGTCAGTAAGAACGTCCGTGAAATATGTATAAAACACAGTGAGCATGCGCTTCGAAATGCTAGACAGCAAGTGAGCATTTGCAATGAGTACTGTAAGTGACGATTTCGAGCCATGCCGTGCATGCGCAGTTACCAAAAAGATGTCTCAGGACCAAACAGCGTCTGCGAAGAGGGTATAAAATAGAAATGGGAAAAGTCGAACTTTTTTATGCCATAATTAAGCATCCGCAAATCAAGCTAAATCGCGATCATGCATAGCTATGAAAATCGAAAATAATGAGAATTCCGGTCGAAAAGCCTTGGCTATAGGAGGCCTACAGTCGATCATTTAATCCAGGGGTGCGCCAGCGGGGGGTCCGGGAGGGGGCAGGCCCCCCGTCAGGGAGAGCTTCCCCCTCCCCCGTCGGAGAGAAAAAGCACAATTCGTCGGGAAGAAAAAATATATATATATATTTTCTACACATTAGTAGACTCTAAAATCGATTAAATAAGCTTGAAACCCCTAAATTGTCAAAATTGTCGGGGGAGTCGCTCCTGAACCATTTCCGAAACATTTTAATCAAAGCTCGACCACACCCACATTGCTTTCGTCGGGGACCTCGACAATTAAATTATCGCAAAAAACAGTTTATTTAGCTCTATCTTCGTACGTACGTATGTATTGACAATCCGATAAAAAGAATAACCACAGCAACTGACTCTGGGTAGCTACCCAAGGGAAAGTCTAGGCTAAAGTCACATTATTTCGAGAGGTACGGTGTTGTAGGCTGAAGATAGGTAGCGTACAAAGCTGAAGCATAAAAATCGGCTATGATGGAATTTATCTATAACCTGTCCAACCCAGTCAGCAGAATAATAACAATGATAAAATATATTTTTTACAAAATTAAATACAAATAAATAATATAAAATATTAAAAAAATAATATCATTAATAATAATAACAACAATAATGGTAAGAACACAAGCTAAAGAAGGTCTATATTGTAGGCCTATAGAGGCCTACATCAATTCATATAGGGCCTATCACACTTTCTACATTTCTAATGTAATGTATATTTAGTATGTTTTTTTTAAATAATTATTTTAATCCTGTAACCGCAATAACTTTGTTGCTATTTTTTAAACCAGTCGTAAACCAATTCTACTTGTATGCTATTATTGCTATGTTTATGTGTCACAAAAGAAATGCATTGAAGATGATATAGGTCATTCTCAAGTATGCATTCATTTATTCAGTTTGGAAATAGGCTACAAACCAGTCATAAGTTAAAGATGTTGCGGCGTTTTCTTAAATAAGAAATATTTCTTGTATATTATATTATTCATATTGGCTCATTGTATTGAAAACAACAAACTTTTCAAGTTTAACTAAAATCACTCTTTAAAATATAACGTACTCAACATTTTTATCAACATAAGCCTAGGCCTAGAACAACCCATCAGTTATAATTAAAAATATAAAATGGGTTGACGGGTTGTTGGTGAATGTGTACCCTGGCCATGGGATTAGAAGACAATCGTCTCCATCTTGCTACAGTTCCACTGTATTAAAATAACCGTCTTATTTACTAATAATTGTCTTGTATAATACGCTACATAATATAAATCCCAAGAGGCTTAATACTACAGTTGTTTTTTTTTTATGTAAGTACAATCCTCAATTGAGAAGACTTAAACCATGACCATGGCACTGGAAGGCAAGCATCTCCACCTACTGCAGCTCCACTATATTCATACAAGAGTACAATACAATGTCAACATTAGAGCTACCATACTAAGAGAGATCGTTAATACAACAGTGGTACAATACAATATCCACATTGTGGAGCTCTTAAAAAGCTAACAGCTTACATGACTTTGGTTGTGCTATAGAGATTTGAAGTGAACGTTGATGTTTCGACATCTAAAATTAAAACAAACTACCATATCAAGAGAGAGTCACTGCCAAGGAATGGGAGCCATGTTCCGTGACTCAACTTTCACACAATTAATCATTTGGCTTGGAATGACAAAAGTATGTTTTGAAATCTGTAGCATATTCGAAAGCTCAAGTGCGAGTTATTATTGTATAGGGCCTACAAAGTTACAACATGCATCAATTAATACGCCATTCACCACCTGGAAAAATTAATCCTCACAAGTATATTATAAATGTGTTACGATAAAATAGATTTATTAGTTTCTCATCTTTTTCTACAGAGGTCATCATTAATCAATCTAGTAATTTCTTTGGTGGTAGTTTTTCATATTCTTCAAAAGAAGGAGATATACTTAAACTAGACCTTGAAGAATATTCTCAAGAACAAGGTAAGAGTGTATTATTATCTGATGTTTTTTCTCCAATCGCATATTTTAGGCCTGTCAAAAATACAGTCTATTAAACATAGAATTATTACTTGATCGTGTAAAATTATGATTTTATATTATTTTAACAGTCCATGTAAAGCAGTTTACTTTAAGCTTTTTCGTCATGTAATAACATGAATGACATTGTAAATGGTATAACGTAGTAACGTAAGTCATTTGACCAATAGGCCTAACGGTTTATTATATTGTGAGTGATAAGAGTGATGTCATTATTGGGATCGAAACTTATGTTAAACAAAATAGAACATTATATTATTAACATTTAGAATAGATATACATTTGTAGTGTGCCTGTACTTAAGCTTTAAAAAAAACATCGACACGTGGATTATTTTTAATTTTATGAATTAAGCAGGTAATCTCACCTCGGCCGTTGTCTTGCTCTTCTTCAAACACATAGGCCTTATTAATCAGTAAGTACCTCTATTATCGAAAACATTACGTGACAATTTGATAGATTATAAATATACAAAAAATCCGGCTGGATGAGGTCATTATAAGTCACTTTTTGAGTACAGTACAAAATATTCAATGGTGATATTAAAAGTTCATTGCTCGTTCACAGATTTGGTAAAAACGATTCCACGTTTTTAGCTTCCAATTTGATGACTGCCTCTTTTGTTGTGGATGGAGCTAAGATATCTAACCCGGTAAACTTTAGATTGAACACAAAGAAGGTATAGCACTTAACAAAACATAGATCAGCAGCTCCTAAAATATTACCAATTGTCATAAAGCAAGTGACTCAACTGTTAATTCAAATTCAATAACTGAAGCAAAATTGTACAGATGTGTAGTGGTTGTTGTGGCGGTGGCGGCGAAGGTGGCGTTGGCGGCGGCGGTGGTGGTGGTGGCGGCGGAGGTGGCGGCAGTGACCAGTAGCAGTAGTGTAGGTCGTAGTACTGGTGGTGTTGGTAGTAGCAGTAACAACTGTTGTCACTGTTGTTGCTTCTGCTAACGTTGTTATTACTAATGTTCCTGTTGCTTTCCTATGTTGTTGTAACTTTTGATGTTTATTGGTGATGGCAGTATGTGGCTGTGGGTGGGTGAGATTTTGATGTACTGTTGGTGTGACGTTTGCTGTTGTACATGGAATTTCACAACTCGAATCGATTTATTTCAGAATATTACTTCGAATGACCGGTATGTATGCGCATTCTGGAAAAAAGATATAAATATCATGTAAGTCACCACAACAAATTCCATTATCATCTGTCTTTAATAATAATAATAATAATAATAATAATAATAGTGTAGTTTTATACGGCGCGATATCCATCTAACATAAGATACTCAGGGCGCTTGATAGGTGGAATAGGTAGGAACTAGCTCGATCACTGACTTTCTTCACCCCCTAAGCGTCTCTTCGTGCCATAAATCCTGCCATTATTATCGTACTGTTAGTTTATTACATGGTATGATATAATGTGATATTTGTATATGAAAATGTTCTCATGTTATTACTGAGTCTA